GCTCTCTGGTGTGTTCAGCATTTTTCAGAAATGGAAGTTCTGCAGCAACTTCTGTCGCTTAGGCCATTTTGTGCAGCATGTGTGCCAATTGGAACTAAAAACAGTGCCAAATTGGAATTCTTTACCAATGTACACAGGTGACAGCCTTTTAAAATCCATTTCCCATGCTCTTTTAAGAGGAATAATTGACAGAACAGTGAGGTGCAACACACTGAAGAACGAGGCTCAGTAGCAGCACTTAATTTGGCTGCGAGAATTTGTCTTCTCGAGAGCGTCATCGTTTAGCTGCAACCGTCTTCCGATTTCTAGATGCTAGTTTCTGAAAAATGATGATGGCTTGAATCTGCTGCAGTATTAAAAATGCTCAGGGAGCTTAAGTCACCGGGTTGAAATGGATATTCTTAAGAACAGAGGGCTCTGCCTTATACCAAATCAGACCATTTGTCTATCAATCTCAGCTTTGTCTACAGTGACTTGTAGTAGCTTTCCTGTGTTTCAGCCAGAAGTTTTTCCTAGTGCTATTTGCAGAGACGCGGGACACTGGACCTGGGAGCTTCTGCATGCAAAGCAATAGTGCACTGTTTTATTCTAGAAACACTGGTGCAAATCTACCTTGTTCAGCATAAATATTGCCAGCACATGCAGCCACCCTGACCATTCTCATCTGATCAAAGGCAATGATACGCACATTAGGGCAGGAAAATTCTGCAATGCATGTTATTAGTAAACATATTAGGAGGAAGTGTGATGCTGCCAGTTTAACTCTAAAAGGAAAATCAAGTCTGCAGTATGGTGTCCTGTGTGTCATTAGATTTGGGTCGAATAGACCTGGCTTCATGGCCGTGCAGGAACTGCGTGACTTTGCAGCAGCCACATACTTGGAGGGTTGCATTAGAGGCATAAATGGCATCATCCTGTTCCCTGCCAATATTGCTAAAAATGAAAGACTGCTCGCTTCGGCTAGTTTCTCAGGGGAAGTATGCCATAAATTTGAAGAGAGCCCTGCACGTCTCCAAAAGGGAAAAGCAACCCAGGACTGATGAAAAATGAACTCGAGCTGAACTCTCCCAGTGGCAACTCAATGAGGAATAACAATGAGATATATGTGAGGATAATGGTGTGAAATATTCTATGAGACACAGAAGGGTGACCTAGTGTTCCCGTGCAAAGGAAAACAAGGATCAGGTCTGACGTGCTAAGCAACCTGTCTCCCTGGCAGCTCATATATAAGGAGGAAATTATGTTCTCCATATGAGCCTCGTCTAATTTAATAACAAATGCTCACACTTTCAAAATGCTGCAGAGGCTTTCACAACTCACTTAATGCTTACAAATTACTTCTAATACTGTACACTAAAAATAAAACATGCCATTTGCTGATTCATTAATAAGTCATATAAGGCAGGTGAAGGTACACATAGCAATTCTCTGAACCTTTGGCATTAGTATTCAAATCTCTCTCCCCCCCCCCAACCCATCCATATTGTATTTTCAGAGATACTTGGTAATAGCACCTCAGGAGTACTGGAAATCTTACAGGGATATGTATTGCACAGTCTTGGCTTCCAGTGCAAAATGTGAAACATGGAACACAGCAGCTTCTTGGGGGAATTTCTATATTTATTTAACATTTCTAGCCCAAAGGCTGCATAGCGCCTGGAAATTTCCAATTTCCTGAGACATACTCTGCACACCAACACCCTTGCAATGTCCAGCGAGCTCTACATCTCATGCCCTTAGTTATGGCAAACCTTCAAAATGTAGCAAAGCTCTCCCCCAGAAATAGTATGACCAAAATTGTAAACCTATTAAGGTTATGGAACCCCTGCCTGTGATATACAGTAGATGACAATCACAGCATTTAGGTACAGAATTCTAAGCCACCCTGACAATTCCATTCCTCACGTTCCATCCTTTCTGCTCAAGCCCTCAAAATTTATGTTCCATTTCTTGCTTCAAGTAAATGTCACATGAATATTTGGCTTGTGATCCTGGATTTTTAAAATTTTTATTTCACCTTCACATGTTGAATGTTGCTTGGCTTGCTCCACTGAAACACTTGCAGGCAGCCAGCAACTCTGCCTGACTGTCTGTGGCTGTAAACCAGGAATCTTCAAGACCCAGGAACCACTTTAGCAAACATGGCTGGGAGTCATTGCTGTCTTTGCCATGAGTTGGGTGTAATCTTGACACCTCCTTTCCATGGGAAGCAGTGCAGCTACAACAAAGTGACATTTTCTCCATCTCTCAAGCTAAGCAGTTGTGCCACCTCCCATGGCCTAGCCTGCAGATCCCACGCGGTCACCTCAGACTGGATTATTGGCTCGCTCTACGTGGGGCTGCCTTTGGGGCCTGACCCAGAAACTCCAGTGCAAATCTTGGCAGGCTCCTGGTCTGTGAGATCCACGTTCACCCGGTGCTATACCAGCTGCACTGGCTCCCAGTGGGTACAGGTCAGGTTTAGGTGCTGGTTTTAACCTTCAAGCCCTATACGGCCTAGGACCCTGCACCTACAGGACCGCCTCCTGGTATGCCCCACAGAAACTTGGTCTTCAAATAAAAGCATCAGTTGACCACAGTTAGGCCACAGCTCTTCCAGGCCAGGGGCACTGGCTGTGGCTCCGATCTGGTGGGAACACTCCATCTAAAGTCAGGGCCTGCGGGACTTTCCTTGCCTTACTTGCTGCCCGACATCTTTCCGCAGGGCCTGCAGACAGGCTGTTCCACCCAGGCCTTTGGCCAGGAGCTAGCTAGCTCTCCTCAGCAATCTTGTGAACTCTGTGGTTGCCAGTGGCTTGGGTAATTATTATTTTATAATATGAGGTGATTTACCGAGTGTTGTTGCTGTACTTTGTACCATTTTTGTGCGCTAGGCTGGCTGCTGGGGAGGGCGGGATATAAATAAAAGTGTGTGTGTGTGTGTGTGTGTGTGTTATTTACATTGGTAGTAGTGCTCCTGTTGCGGCCTACCTTGGATCAGGCCACAACCCACCAGCTGAAGACCGGTGTTCTAAACTGCTCTACCACAATGGGATACAAATCAAGGAAGAATTTAACAAGTTCCCTTGAGTTCCCTTAGGAAAAATGAAATGAAATATTACTACAGTGGTGCCTCAGAAGTCGGAACGGAATCCGTTCTGGAAATCCGTTCAACTTCCAAAATGTTTGGAAACCAAAATGCAGAAGCCATGGAAGCCCTGTTGGACGTTCGGGTTCCAAAGAACGTTCACAAACCAAAACACTCACTTTGTGGCGTTTGGGAGCCAAAACGTCCGAGTACCAAGGCGTTTGGGATCCAAGGTACAACTGTACAGTGGTACCTCAGGTTACATTCGCTTCAAGTTACATACACTTCAGGTTACAGACTCCACTAACCAGTGGACTCCACCCAGAAATAGTGCTTCAGGTTAAGAACTTTGCTTCAGGATGAGAACAGAAATCGTGCTCCGGTGGCGTGGTGGCAGCAGGAGGCCCCATTAGCTAAAGTGGTGCTTCAGGTTAAGAACAGTTTCAGGTTAAGAACGGACCTCCAGAACGAATTAAGTACTTAACCCAAGGTACCACTGTACTTGAGATTCAATAGATCCTATAGCTGGAATTACATACAATCTAACCTCTGCTTTTTGGGGGTTATTTTTAAGATGATTTAGGATAATTAGACCTTTTTCTAGAGAAGATTAAAAAAAGCATGATTTTTATTACTAGGCATTGAGGGTACAGTCTTTGGAATTTGGGGGCTAAATAAAAGTTATTTCAAGGTAAAAGGAGTAACACAGAAAACTTTTGCTTGTCAACCAAGAGAAAGAAACCCAAGTTTGATGAGCCAAGGAACCGGTATTCAAGTTCGGCATCTCAAATGGCAAAAAGGTTTGCATTTTAAAAAAAAAAAGTTTAAACAAAATATTCATGGAACAATTTCAGGCAACAACCAAATGTGTAAATATGACCATCTGCTTGTGGGCCGATGAATACAAACAACAGCAACACATGCCACCGACATCATATGCCAACCATCACCTTGATCATCTTATGTTCGTTCTTGTCTCCTTCCTCTCCCTGAACTGTTGCATATGCATGCGCATATAAAAATCACTCAGCACAGTTGGAGCCCAATCCTTACGGGAGCATGAGGTGCTTCCCTGGCATACATGATAGCTAATCACAACACTCAAAAATCTCCAAAGAAGAAGAGGGGCTACTACAAACCCAGCTCTAATTAGAACACAAGACTTTCCAGCCTTCCAGTGCCCAACATCTCTGCCCACATGACCGAGCACAACGGCCTGATGCGAGGGACGTTCCTTTTTTTGAGAAATGCACAGCATTGGCTGCCACTGCCCATTGCAAAAAAACAAAAGGAAACCTACACAGGAAGCTGCAAACCTTCACAGGTTATATAATAATAATAATAATAAAAGTAATAATAATTTATTATTTATACCCCGCCCATCTGGCTGAGTCTCCCCAGCCACTCTGGGCGGCTCCCAATCACATGTTAAAAACAATACAGCATTAAATATTAAAAACTTCCCTAAATGGGGCTGCCTTCAGATGTATTTTAAAGATAGGATAACTGCTTATTTCCTTGACATCTGAAAGGAGGGTGTTCCACAGGGTGGGTGCCACTACCGAGAAGGTCCTCTGTCTGGTTCCCTGTAACCTCACATCTCGCAATGAGGGAACCGCCAGAAGGCCCTTGGCGCTGGATCTCAGTGTCCGGACTGAACGATGGGGGTGGAGACACTCCTTCAGGTATACTGGACCGAGGCCGTTTAGGGCTTTAAAGGTCAGCACCAACACTTTGAATTGTGCTCGGAAACGTACTGGGAGCCAATGCAGATCTCTCAGGACTGGTGTTATGTGGTCCCAGCAGCCACTCCCAGTCACCAGTCTAGCTGCCGCATTCTGGATTAATTGCAGTTTCCGGGTCACCTTCAAAGGTAGCCCCACGTAGAGCGCATTGCAGTAGTCCAAGTGGGAGATAACCAGAGCATGCACCACTCTGGTGAGACAGTCCGCGGGCAGGTAGGGTCTTAGCCTGCGTACCAGGTGGAGCTGGTAAACAGCCACCCTGGACACAGAATTAACCTGTGCCTCCATGGACAGCTGTGAGTCCAGAATGACTCCCAGGCTGCGCACCTGGTCCTTCAGGGGCACAGTTACCCCATTCAGGACCAGGGAGTCCCCCACGCCCACCCGCCCCCTGTCCCCCAAGAACAGTACTTCTGTCTTGGTTGACTGTGAATGCCCAAAAGAAGATCCTATGAAGACCTCTTGTCCCCAGGACTTGGATGGATGGCATAACAAAGGGCATAACAAGTTTCTGTTTCTGTCATTGAAACATTCAATGCGTGGATTACAAGTGGAAGATGAACAGTAGTCTAATCATTATTTTCTTTATATTAAAAAGCCCTTTAGATGCACCTTTCTGTTTTTATACAGTTGTTAATAATGCGTAAAGGAAGGCCATGTTATCCTTTGTGGTAATGAGTCTCGGTCTGTGGGAAACCTCATTCTGATGACCCCAGAAGCAGAAAGTCGGCTGTGGGTGGTTGCTAGGGAACTAATGGCATGGTTTCTCTGGTGAAATTTTCAATTTCATTGAAATTGAAAATAGAAACGAGAGAATTCCCCTGCTGGAAAAGACCACAATCTGTCAAGTACAGCATCCCATTTCCAGAAGCAGCCAGCTAGTTGCCTTCAGAATTCACAGGAAGGGAATGATCACTATCCCCTTTTTTCTTTCTGACCCTCAGAGGTCCACTGGGGCTGGGTGTGCAGTCTCCATTTGCCTATGAAGGTCTAACAAAGGTTTTTCAATGTCATCTAAGCTGATGGCTATTGCTACTTACGTTTTCACGCCATCGTGTCCAAGATGTGCAATGAGAAGATGTAAAAAAACCCAGCTGGAAAACAAGGCAGGCCGCAGTTGTCTCTGCAAACTCCCACTGTCCACCATTCAAGGATTACGCTGACTTATGACCCCAGCATGATACCTGCAAATAGAGGGAACCAATGAACTCGTAATGATAGAGGCACACCCACAATACCCCTCTTTATCACAACTAGGAAATGGAGAAATCATGATTCGGTTTGCATTTAAAGGCAAGCTTACCTAATTCTTTGTGGCAACAATGGAAGGTTGCCGGGGGGGAGGCAGTTCAGGCCCAATCCCTGAGAGCAGCAATATAGGATCCAGTGGATTCCAGGCTGTCTCAGCCCTGGCCCATTCTCAGAACACTCCATTTCGCAGCTGTCAACTGGGCTGTTCTGGCGGGCACATCACTGGTGGATCTTCCACTCACCCACCAATTCAACAGACAGTGGGAGGCTTGCTGAACTGGCAGACGTGAGCAGAGAGATGCTTCCACTCATTCCAAACCCCCCATAGCCCCTACATAAGGGGGGAGTTTGGATCACAGCCTAAGAGTTTTATAATGTCAGTGTGCAAGAAGTGTCTCTGAACTGGTTCAAAACCAGTTCGAAATGTCTAAACAGAAACCAAATCAGGGAGTTTGTTAAAAAAATAAATAATATAAATAACGATTCGGAACCATCCCCATGTTTTTAATGGTTCAACTCCCTGAATTCCAGTTCTGTGTGTGGCTGGCGTTGCCGGGGGGGGGGGCAGAGAGAAGCAGTTGATCTATCAATTAAAGCAGTATTGGAAAAGAAAGGAAGAAAGCCATTCACTACTGGCATATAAGTGCCTAGCAGTGTAACTACAGGAGAATCTACAGTTCAAGTTTACATCATAAAGTGTTGTTGTTGTTACTGTTATTTCTACCCCACCCATCTGACTGGGTTGCCCCAGCCACTCTGAGCAGCTTCTAACATATATAAAAACACAATAAAACATTAAACAAACAAAAAACTTCCTTAAATATTTTAAAATATGTTAAGCTATTTCCTCCAACGATTCCTGCATACCAGAGCCTTATATCACTGTTACTTCAAAGCCAAATATTTTGAAGCATGCTCCTGACTCACTAGAAGAAATCACTCATGGAACTAGCAGGCAAGGTGCCATTTCTACCAAGTACAGAACGCCCATATTGTGCATACTGAAGAAGAAAGGCAGAAATCCTCTGAAAGTATAGTGTCATATGACAATACAGAGAGACTTGTCCCTTTGCTGTCTATGGGCTGTGTTTTCCTTCTCTTTCTCCTCAGGGCTAAATGAGATGCGATGTCGGCAGGCTCGTATGTTTGCATACAGGTCATGCCCTGATCGCACAGACTGTGGTGTTGAGAAAACCAGCAAAAGGGATGTTTACATGAAGTGAGCCTGCCTATGGCTCATCCTCCCACTGCTAGCACTTTCTCCCAGCCAAGCACACTCTTGGTATATGAGTTCAGCTCAAGAGAAAGGGCAAACGAAAGCCGTGAGAGACAAGCTGTCATGGGGAGGGTTCTGAACTCCTCACCCATAAGCCACCACCATCCAACATTCTCCTCCTTCCTGAAAAGTCTCTGCTCTTTCTTCCTCACTGCTCTGTATGCTTGGAACTGTCTCCCAGATCACCTGCACAATGCCATCTCTCTCAAACGCTCCTTTTTTGGGGGTATAATCGGTCTCATATAACCAACATACCTGTCTAATTGATGCTTGAAACAGTTAAGACCATAGAGAAAGCTGTCCTGCCAGGCTTAGCTCACCTTGGGAGGGACTAGGTCATCAAGTCTTTGTCCTTCCCATCCACCACAACCCCCCAGTCTACCAGAGAAACTCAGCGTGTAAGGAGGTCTAAGCTGGTTGCTGTAGCTCAGACCGCATGGCACTTACAAGCCACTCTTGAGTTCCTATACCAATAATTTACGAGCTTTTCTCACACGCTCAGGGCTGATTAGAGTGTTGTCTCTGCAGGGAGGACCCACTGACAGAGGAGGGGCCCCATTAAGAATGAGGGAGAAAGATGCGCCTCACCAGGGAGGGCATTCCACAAAGAGGGAACCATCACCAAGAAGACCCTTTCACAGGGCAATGCCAACCAGCTGGCAGCCAGCTGCACAGGATTGGCTCTCTGGTATCACCTGATTCCCAGGACCAAGAGAATTCTGTGCTGTGATGCTAGTATCTTAACTTGAACTACCTGCAGTTCCCCCTTCTCTGATCCATGCCTCACTCACATCTCCCACTTCAAGCCCTGCAGCACCTGTCGAGAAGCCCAGCTGTAGCCATAGCTGTGTGTATGGGACTCCTTACCCATAAATTCTGTAGGCTGTATCTCAAGTTTAGTTAAATCAACACTGTTCTATTGACTTCATCTTTGAAATTACACCAGCTGAGGATTCAGAGACATATGTTTTACACACACACCTGCTAAAGAAAGGATTATTTCTGGAGGAAAGGAGCTTAGCTTTTCTTTGAATTGAAGAGTTTGGGGGCTTCTGAAAGCTGCTGTGGTTGCCGAATCCCAAGAGCATCGTCTCCTTTGTGGCATTGTTTTTCTTTTAAACGGAAGATCTTTTCCTAACCAGAATAAAAATGGCTTGTCATGTTGAAGCGTAACATCTGTGGGTTTCGCTTTTATGAAAGCAGAACCGCACATCTGCACTATAAATACTCAATAATGCTTACATACATTAATCTGTATTCCCAGCTATGTCTTTTCGCCCCACATTCAAACCTGGAGACAAGAGATCTCAGAAAATGAGAACCTGGCTTTAAACAATGAAACGGGGGGGGGGAGGGGTGTTGAGAAAGAATCCAGCCCAAACAAGAAGCATTAAATTCTTTTGCTAGGAAGGAAAACTGTGCTGAGAGTAAGTGCATTTGGTTTAAAAACTATTCTGAGATATTTTCAGTCAATGCAGGTCAGAAAGATGGTCTGTGGATTCTGGGAAAGGAGATTTGAATACACTATTCAATACAAATCAGATAACTTAAAAATCAATTTTGTTCCAGGGAAAAAGTTCTCTCAAACCAAAAGAGACTCAACTAATTACATCAAGCAAGGAGATGTAATATAGTCTATATGCACTTCAATAGATTTTTGTCTACGTGCAGAACGGGCAGCTAGAAAAGACATGCTCAGAATGTTTAATCTGGTGTCTTTTGCCTAGAAATGGAGTGCACATTATTAATGCCACAGGGACTGCACTGAAAGTGGTCTCCACATGGTGGCCCATAACAACATAGGGGCTGTGGACATCAGTAAGAACCTGGCACAGGGGCAAGGGGATCAAAGTACTTCCACAAAGGCCAGCTTATGGTGGCATCCCATCACAACCCAATAATATCTGCTCTTGATCGTAAAAACAGCCATTCAGTTCTTACAGCACAAAACGGAGCAAGTGGTCATTGAACACATGGCTTGGCACACTGGGCAACATCCTTGGTAGTGGCTTTTCTGAGCATGATTGCCATCACATTAGCCACCCAGAAATCCTGGGAAGTGACAGTGAGGTGGAATGTTTCCATTTTCAGCTCACGCCCAGTAAGGGATATTTTGAAATAGTCCCTTACTTCAATTCCTGGATGTACCAGCAGGTTAGGGGTTAGGGGGCGCAAATTACTTGCCTTGCCCCGGGTGCTGACAACCCACGCTACACCACTGACCTGAAGCACCACTTTAGCTAATGGGGCCTCCTGCTGCTGCCGCGCCACCGCTGCACGTTTTTTGTTCTCATCCTGAAGCAAAGTTCTTAACCCGAGGTACTATTTCAAGTCAGCCTTCCGTTTCTTTGTAGATAGATTAAAGCAGAGACATGGCAAACTAGAGCTCAGAAAATCGCTTGTAAAAGATTAACTTTCATCATTTAAAATTGTTGAACCCCCCTTCGGAAGCAGGAGAAGAGGGGGGATTTTTTCGGACTGTTTAAACCTGCAGAAGTGAGTGCAAAGTAAGTAACTTCCACCGTCCTGATCCTGGAGCGGGGTGTCAGGACTGACGTTTTTGAAGCTCATTGACCAGAGACAAACGTTTTTGACAGATAGCTATAAGAAGAGAACACTGATTCCATTGTTCCCTTCGCATTTTAAAGGAACAAATATTGACAAAATATCTGAAAAGGAAACTTTGTTGTTAGACTTGTCTTTAAAAGAAAGAACAAATAGAAGTTTTCCCCTAGAGGGAGACTGTGAAACTGTAACCAACTCCGGGGACTTGCAGCTGTTACAGATTACAATCGTGGGAATAGACTTCTGACCTTGCAGAACAATGTATTCAGAAGCTCTGTTGCGTGCTTTCTGTAAAACAAATGCCCTACTGGAACAGCTACATGAGAAGACGGACTTGATGACTGATGCGATCAGAAATTTTGAACAGGCAGTGGGAAATTATATGGAGCCCACCCAGGAATTAAATCAGGAGTGTGCCCTGACAGAACAGATGAGGGAAGAGGATGCTGCTGAATCTTGGGCGCCAGAGATGAAGGGAGCTGTGGCCCAGCAGCAACATGAGCTTTTGGACTTGACAAATGAACTTGGAAAAAGCCAGATTTGGAAAGATAAAGTTTGGTTTGGTTTGGAAATGGGGGGTTGGATAGACCCCCCTATGCAGGGATGTTTGGACCTGGCAATAGGCCGTGAGATGTTTGGGGTTGTGGGGGCTCTTAATTTTGGAGGGATTTTGAAACATGTTCTTAAATACCACATGGAGTTTAGTGTGGACTATGGAAAAGGGGCTGATTTGTCGAGAAGGGTCAAAACATTGTTAAGCTGGAGTTCCCACGAGTGAAAGGAGCAGGAGACAAAGGAAAATACAGTTATAAATATGAAGAAGAGCTGCAGAAGGGACATGGAAGAGACTTAAGGGCCTCGGATACAAGGTTACCAGGTTAATGTGCTAGATCGATGGGATAATAAGGACTGACAAAACCCGGGACCAGGAGGAAGGAACGCTGGATGAAGACTGGATTGTTTTTATTTCTTTTTTTACTACTAGGATTGTTTTATAAAATTGATGAATGTTAGAAAAATGTTGGAACGAAATTACTTGGCTTTAGCAAAAATGTTTAAAGAATTATGTAAGAATATTATGGTTATGAGAAGTTGGTAAAAATAAGATTTAAGTTTTAAGCTTTAAGGTTCTTTATACTAAGATAAGATTAAAATAGTTTAAGGTAATGTAATGACAGAATATTATGAAATATGGAAAGGATTTGCTGCGACAATTAACAATTAGGATACAAAAAAAGGGAGGAGGAGGAGGTCAAAGAAAGAAGGTAATGACAGTTGAGGATTTGAGAATGATGGATTTGTTTTTGAGTGTTTGTGGTGTATTTTTGTTTTTTGAATTTGTATTGTTTGATGTGGTTTGTTTTTTCTTTGTTTTTTGATTGGAGGGCAGGGTATGGGGGGGAATCTTTCTACGCTACGCTGGGACTACTGCAATGCGCTCTACGTGGGGCTACCTTTGAAGGTGATCTAGAAACTGCAATTAATCCAGAATGCAGCAGCTAGACTGGTGACTGGGAGTGGCTGCCAGGACCACATAACACCGGTTCTGAGATATCTGCATTGGCTCCCAGTACGTTTCCGAGCACAATTCAAAGTGTTGGTGCTGACCTTTAAAGCCCTAAACGGCCTCGGCCCAGTATACCTGAAGGAGCGTCTCCACCCCCATCATTCAGCCTGGACACTGAGATCCAGCACCGAGGGCCTTCTGGCGGTTCCCTCATTGCGAGATGTGAGGTTACAGGGAACCAGACAGAGGGCCTTCTCGGTAGTGGCGCCCATCCTGTGGAACGTCCTCCCTTCAGATGTGAAGGAAATAAGCAGCTATCTTCTTTTTAAAAGACATCTGAAGGCAGCCCTGTTTAGGGAAGTTTTTAATATTTAATGCTGTATTGTTTTTAACACTTGATTGGGAGCCGCCCCGAGTGGCTGGGGAAACTCAGCCAGATGGGCGGGGTATAAATAATTTATTATTATTATTATTATTATTATTATTATTATTATTATTATTACACTTCCTTGTAGGGGGAAATGAGTAAAAATACATGTGGAGCTCTGTGTTTTTAGCCCTATATAAGCTGAAAGGTCCATTAAGATATGCCAGAGAAGGTCAGGTTTCTATCCATTCTGGGAGCAATTCTTCAGGAGCTACAGTACAGAGCCTTTACATCGGTGGCTCTGTCAGTGTTCAGCACTACAGCATAAACTGCTGTGCCTGATGGGCATTTAGCACTGTGTCTTGTCAAGATTTGCTTTTGCATCTTAGTATAGCAGAAGGTTTATTGATTTGTCATGTGTTACGATTTGTAATGTGATTTATTAGCTGCACTGCGTTTCTGAAATGAATCAGTCAGGATGTATTAGTAAGCAGGCCATAATACAAATGAGTCAGGGTATTCAGATAAATTGAGTGTGACTCCAGCTGTTTAGCATTTCTCTCTTCTTTTATTTTAAGAGGCTGCTTCTGTGCTGGGAATCCATGCCTGATTTTGTTTTTTCCAAAATCTGTACGTGTGACAAAAGAGAGGGATACCCAGGTGTGACAAAATAATTAAAAAAATCCCTTCCAGTAGCACTTTAGAGACCAACTAAGTTTGTTATTGGTATGAACTTTTGTGTGCATGAACACTTCTTCAGATACTAGTTATGACAAGTAATGATCTACGTGTGGTTTTTCATCATAAAAGTACTTTTTAAATGATTTTTTAGCTAATGGCTGAGATAAGAAAACAAGATTCCTTACCTCCAAATAGGATACTGAAACCAGAACAAGCATTTCAAACCACACCAGAAGTAGTCTGAACAGTGCTACACGGGATGTGCCTCCTACCAAATCAGACCACTAATTCATCTAACTCAGTGTTGTCTCACACCAAGGATGGCGAACTTCCAGATGCTACTGAACTACAACTCCCATCATTCTGACCATTAGCAATGCAGCCTGGGTTGATGTGAATTGGAATCCAGCAACCCAGGTCTGCACTCTCTAGGGTTCAGGGATCTTTCTCAGCGCTACCTGAAAATGCCAGGGATTGAACCTGCATGCACAACATGAGCTCCACCGCTGAGCTATGTGGCCCTTCCCATGTGTCTGTCAAGATCCCACCCAACCGAGACCCCAGGAAGACCTTTTCGAAAGAAAGGGGCTAGGAAGATTGCAGAAAACCCTGTACAACTGAGGACCTGGAGGAACCCACAATTGTTCCCAAGACCGCCTGAAGTGCCCTGTCTAATGCACACCTTGCATGGGCCCCACCCATAACCCTCCAACTCAAGCCCTCCTCGATCCCTGATTCACCACCACCACCCCTGGACCACAAAGACAGCAGCATTGAGAAGCCCAGAGTCACCGTAGAAGAAACTGTTTGGCTGAAAACAGATATTTCCTTGTAAGAAAGGGCCTATTCAGGAAGAGGGAGAAGATTCAGCCACAAACAATGACTTCCTTGGGGAAGGAGGAGCTGGCAGATATGTGTCCTCTAGACCTTTCCTGGGTTAATAGCTCCAGCTTTCACACTAGGTCCTCATCATGGACAGTGTCTGCATCCTTCTCAGCCCTTGCGTTGCCACTGAGATGTGCATCCTTGGATCACTCTTCCCCCTCCT